AATCTGATGTGCTGGAAAGAACAGCAGCTGAAACTTGTGCATGTCAGATATTCTCACCTATGTCCATTGGAGGCTTCTTGAAAAAAGTTGCAGGGCACTGGGTCATGTAATAGGAGGCTGTGGAGCCACCCGGGAAGCTCTGTGAAATGTCTGATGAGCCAGAATTACAGTGTTTGCTGGTAAGCTTGCCTTCACTTTACTGTTAGGCTGCCTATCAGCCTTGTAATCTCCTTCACTTGAATGTTGTGTTACCTATCAACCTTGTGAGCTCCTTCACATGACCTTTGGGGTTCCTATCAGCCTTGTGAGATCCTCCACATGACCTTTGGGATGCTTATGAGCCTTGTCAGCTCCTTAGTTTGACTGTTGTGCTTCCTATCAGTCTTCTGAGCTCCTTCACTTGACCATTGGGCTGCCTATCAGTCTTCTGAGCTCCTTCACTTGACCATTGGGCTGTCTATTAGTTTTTTGAGCTCCTTCACTTGACCTTTGGGCTGCCTATCCTCCTTGTGAGTTCCTCTACTTGACCTTTGGGGTGCCTATGAGTCTTGTAAGCTCCTTAATTTGACTGTTGTGCTTCCTAGTAGTCTTCTGAGCTCCTTCACTTGACCATTGGGCTGCCTATCAGTCTTCTGAGCTCCTTCACTTGACCATTGGGCTGCCTATCAGTCTTCTGAGCTCCTTCACTTGACCATTGGGCTGACTATCAGTCTTCTGAGCTCCTTCACTTGACCATTGGGCTGCCTATCAGCCTTGTGAGCTCCTTCACTTGACCATTGGGCTGCCTATCAGCCTTGTGAGCTCCTTCACTTGACCATTGGGCTGCCTATCAGCCTTGTGAGCTCCTTCACTTGACTTGGCTGCCCATCGAGTCTGCAGGAGGTATGTGCAGATTTGATAGGTAGCCCAGTGGCCAACTGAAGGAGTACACACAGCAGGCTGACAACACTGCTGCTAATTGCAAGGTAGTGGCTTAGCAATGTCAACCTGAAACAGGAAGTGCTGTTACTGGCAGGATCTCAAATCAGGAAAATTTGCAACAAGTTCACAGAAAACAATTTGCTTAGCCACTTGAGCAGCACGCTATATATTCTCCTTCCTGTTTCAGATCTGTGATAATTTGACTGACAATTCCTCAGTCATGCAGCACTGCACGCAAATTCAATTGATGTCATTTTTTGAGACAGATAGATCTTTCTTTCGGTGACATTTAATGACCACTGGCTTTTTAAAAAATTCATTACAAAATAAAGGAAATGCTTACATCCACCTTTTGCTTCTTTACCTTTAACAATCCAGCAATCATTGGTAGTCAGCGACACTTTAACCCCTCACACTTGACAAAAAAATCCCCAAATCATTGGTAGTCAGTGGTTTTTAAAACACCCCCCTCCCCTCCCCCTTCACCCTCACCACCACCAAACAATTCTGCAGTTATTTGGTCACTGGCACTTTAAGACATCCCAACCACACCTTCAATCTTCCGATCCTCCTTCCTGGTTGGTTTCCAATCATTCAGCCCATTCACAAGGGAGGAAAGGGAGCTTCCTCTGTACTGAATGGGCTTCATGTTTGTAAACAATACAGATGTTTACGCTTGTGATGGCTGTTACATAGTATTTGGGGTTGAATAAAGACATACGTCCATCAAGTCCAACCCATATAGGTCCACGCATCATCTCATTCTTAGGCATACTGGTATCTCTGGATATTACGGTCCCTCAAGAAATTGTCCAAACGTTGCTTGAACAAATCTACACTCTTGGCTGAGATGACGGCCGATGGCAGTGAGTTCCAGACCTTAACCGCTCTTACTGTAAAGAACCCTCTTCGCCCCTTGTGCTGGAATTTTTTCTCCACCAACTTTAGGTGGTG